GCTGATGTAAAGTAGACGATACAATTACATGTTCAAGGTAGAAGCTTGGAGGAAGAGGGGAAGAGGAGGAGAGAGAGAGAGAGGGGAGAGGAGGGAGAGGGAGAGGGGAGAGAGGGAGAGAGAGGGAGAGGGGAAGAGGGGAGAGAGAGGGGAGAGGGGTGACTGATGTTGGGTTGAGGTTGGGGCATTAATTTGTATGGGCGTGAGAAGGCTAAGCATATGGAAAATAGGAGATATCCAGTGCGTTTTTTATGTGGTTTTGTATTCGTGTTACTCAAAATTATATTGTTATGCATGTGTATTACAGACAGATTTTACCTTGCCATTGATGCTAATACTCGTGTATTTTTTTTTTACAGGTGTTGTCGGCGCTGGACATCCTACAGCCTCCACACCTTGACTTCTTCCAAGAAATGTATCCTTTTTTTGCGTGTGCGTGCGAGTCACTTCTCGGTATTGTGTCGCTGTTTTCGTGCTGGAAGAGGTGGGCGCGCGTGTGAGCAGTTGGCTTTCAACATGGAAGGAAAATAAGCGTGGTCTTGTGATGTTGGTGTGTGGATGGCGGAAGGGTAATTTTTTCAGAGCGCGATGTCTGAAATACATCGTTTTTGTGAAGTTTTGTGTTACTTGAAAATCGTCTTCTGAAATTATGAAAATCATGATTAGGTGATGATTTGACTACATTCTGACCGGGGCGTTTCAGCAACACACACACAACAACACACACAACAACAACAACAAACAACACACACACACACACACACACACACACACACAACACACAACACACACACAACACACACACACACACACACAACACACACACCACACACACACACCACATATATATATATATAATATATATATATATATATATATATATATATATATATATATATATATCCGTGTTCAAAGGAAAAAGCGAAAGGAGAGGAGAGGAGATAATGGAATGAGGAGAGAGAAAAGTGCGAGAGCGCCAAGGGAATCACGACTTCGGAGAACGTGATTTACAGGACTGTTGGACTGCAGAGCAACCGACGCTTCGGCCGGCTTACCGATCAACCGAATTACCGGAGTGCCGACCGAGGGGAAGGCGGGAGGGGACGACGAAAGGAAGAAAAAGGAAGGAAGGAAGGAAGGAAGGGGCAAAAGCTGGAAGATCCTTCGCCAGAGATGGGCAGCGACTCAGGCGATTAGGCCTCGGTTAGGGGAGGGAAAGTTCAGGGATAGGGAATGCAGTGGGAGAGAGGGAGAGAGAGAAAGAGAAAGAGAAAAAGGGAGGGAGGGAGGGAGGGGGGGTGGCGGCGTGGTTTAGAGGGTTGTGACGGTGTGGTCTAAAGAGAAAAGATGATAAGAGGGTAGTGGTGACGTAGTCAGGGAGTTGCAGTGACGTGGGGGGGGGGGGGGGTGACTGTGGTGAGACACGCGCCGTCACCACATCGGCCCGCGCCAACTCTGAAAACGGTTGGAGTTTGAAGGATGGCCTTGAGGTCTGTCATGGCATTGGGAGGGAGTTAGGGAAAGGGAAAAAAGGGAGGGGAGGGAGGGAGGGAGGGAGGGAGGGAAGGAGGAAGAGAGGGAAGGGAGGAAGGGAGGGAAGGAGGAGGGAGGAGGAGGAAGGGAGGGAGGGAGGGAGGACTGAACAGAGAAATGAAGGGCAGGAGATGCGGGGAGGGAAATATCATGGGATGGAACGGAGAAGAGAAAGTTGAGAGTAAGAAAGAGGAGAGGGGAAGAGGAGACGGGGGACGGAATGTTAGAGGAAGAGAAAGAGCAATTGAATGGAGCGAAGAAAGAAAGGGAGAGGAGAGAGAGGTGAGAGGAGAGGTGAGAGGAGAGGAGAGGAGAGGCCGACGTACTTCAAGGAGAGGAGCGTCGGCCTTCGTTGGGGATGCCGCAGGTGAGTGACGGAGTGGGGCGAGGGGGGAGGGGAGGGGGGGGTCGAGTCCTGCCCACCGGCCTGCGAGTTCTTCTTACCAAAGGTTTGCGCGAGCCTGCCAACCTCCGCGCGAATTAACCCATCACATTTAGGAGGAGAAATGCACCGCGAATGCAGCAGACCCGACGTCCTCTCCCAGGTTCCTTTTCTTCCTGATTCGCAAAGGCTAACCTGTTGATTAGTGATTGATTGGCCTCCCGTCGCGTTGCATGACGCCGCCCGCCCTGCCATGCCCTCGTTGCTCCGGAAGTTCTTGGCGTCTTGCAGGGATCTAAGGCCGGGAGGAATAAAAGATCGGGACGGATGGAAAGGTCAGGGAGGATGTAGGGTCAGGGAAGATCCAAGGTCAGGAAGGATATAAGGTCAGGAGACAGTGGTAGGACTTGTGATGATGGCCGTTGCAGCGCGGAGGGAGGGGGAGGGGGGCGAGAAGGGCAGGGAGGAAGGAGGAGTGGAAGGGGATGAAGGAATAAGGAATGACTGAAAGGACAGAGAGGAGGCGAGGGCGAGTGGGCGAGCGCACCCCCCCCCCCTCCGCACCTCCGCCGCCGGTCGGCCTGATATATAGCGCCTCATTGTACCCTCCGAACTTAAAGGTGATGAGGCTCGAGGCGAAGGCAGGCTGGGCAGGCCGGGCCACACGCCGGGGTCACGCCGCCATCTTTTTTGGCCGCTCGCGCCCTGCGTGTCCTGCTGGCTTCTAGCCCGCCCTGCCGCGCCCTCGCATGAGCGGCTCCGCGCGAGGGGCGGCGTGGTCAGCCCGTGGCGGAAAGGAATCCCGCTCTTCTGGGTGTGACTGCATGTGGATGCACGTATGCCTTTGGCCGTGGGCACGTCGCTCGTGCATACGGTATATGCTTACACGCAGTCATTCATGCGCGTCGGGTACACTGCGTAAATTCATTCATTTATTTATTTAGTCGTTTAAGGATACATGCATGCATACTGCAAAGGCGGGCATGGATGCAAGCGTGGTTGCATACAAACATGAATTTGCACGCAAATTACTGATGGAGCGCTCGACGTCCACCTGTGCGTGTGCCCGCGCGCCTGGCCTCAGCATGGCCGGAACAAACAGAAAGGCCAGTCGCCGGGCAAACGGTCAGCGCGAGTGGCCACGCTGGGCCGCCCGTTCGCCCCGGCCGCGGTGTCAGCGAAATCCTGCCCGCTGACGAAACCCGCGTCCTAGAGCGGGGCTGACAGCCGGCGGCCGAGTAGGCACCTCGTGGCCCCTGAAAAGCTGATCGCGAAGCAGGATGTGGCTGCGCGCTCCTTCCGCATCCTCCTTACGCGTGCGCGCGAACTCGCCCCGCTCTGACTGCCACGACTGTCCGGGGCAGCGTGCCCTGTCAGAGGCGATCCGGCTCCACCAACGAGGGAAACTCGGGCCACACGGGTTTATGTTTCTATGCCACCTTATTATTGTTTTTTTGAAGTGGTGCCCGCAGTAGGCACGGAGGCACGTCTTGAAAGGTGTATTTTTAAGCGGCAGGTTGCTGAATCAGTTTGCTGAATCGCCACAATTCTTGCAAATCCTCAGACTATGATTTAGTGCTTTACCGGCACCGGCACGCGTCCCACCACGCCCTCGCTTCCGTGGGCGTTGAAGGATGTCTCTATTACGCCCACTGTCCGAACTGACGGCCCATTAAAGACGCAACTTCCTGTTCTTGGCCTGCGACTGCCGGTTTTGTGTGGGCGACGTGGCACTGGCATTCGTGGGCCGACGTTGATTTCGACGATTTCGACGGGGATTTCGACTTTTGTTGGATTCGGAATCTTATTTGTTGGATTTGACGATTTCGACAGAATTTGTTGGAACAGAATTTTTGGATTGACAGAAGATTTCGACAGAATTTGTTGGATTTTTTGTTTGAATTTGTTGGATTTCGGAATTTGTTGGATTTTTTTTTGGATTTCGATAGAATTTTTTGGATTTTGACAGATTTTTCGGATTTCAACAGTAATTTTTGGATTTGAACAAATTTTTTGGGGGGATTTCAACAGAATTTTTCGATTTTTTTTTTTTAAAGGGCACGTGACATGGATGAGGTCAGAAATGGGAGAGCATGGCAGGATACGTAGGATCAGATGCACCAGCTAACGAGATGGGAAGTTGTGCAAGTTCGTCCACGCGGTAATTGCGAATAAAAAAAAAAAAATCAGAAATAGGAAATGAAGAAGTGAATAAAAAAAAAAAAAAAATCAGGAATGTGAAATGAAGAGGATGCCTATTTGTGAAAGAAAGAGATACCTTAGGATAGCGATCATATCTTAGCTATATATGCATATTGGAATTGTGAATCAACGAGTTGTATTGAAAACGTTTAGATATCTATTTTAGGATTATTACCATGCAGTTTGAAAGTGTTTGAAAGTATGGTTAGAGTATTACGTTTATATATCGCGCAAGTGTTGCAGTTGTAATATTGGAAGTGTTAATTACGTTCAGTGTATTTCGTGTTATTTACATTTCGTGTTGTTTAGTATACTGTGTTACGTATATCGTTAGTATTACACATAAATACTGTAAGTGTTACATAGCACAGTATATTAAGTGTTATTTACGGACATTAAGTGTTATTATGTATATTGAGTGTTGCTTGCGTGTGTTATAAGTGTTATGTATACTTGGAAGCGTTATGTATTAAAGTATAATGAGTGTGACCTGCGTGTGTTATAAGTATTAAGTATACTTGGAAGTGTTGCGTATTACAGTATAATGAGTGACATGCGTGTGTTATAAGTATTAAGTATACATGGAAGTGTTACATATTACAATATAATGAGTGTTTCCTGCGTGTGTTTAGAAGTGTTAGAAGTGTCTTAAGTGTTAAGTATACTTGGGAGCGTTACGTATCAGTGTGTATCGAGTGTTCCCTGCTTGTATTTAGAAGTGTCATAAGTGTTATGTATCCCTGGAGGTGTTACGTTCCTTGACCTTGGGTGTGCAGCTACGTGATCACAGAGCTGATGCAGAGTGACCTCCACAAGATCATCGTGTCTCCACAGCATCTCTCCGCCGACCACGTCAAGGTCTTCCTCTACCAAATCCTCAGAGGTGAGTCTTTGCTCGAGTTTTTTTTTTTTTCTTTTTTTTTTTTTTTTTTTTTTTTTTTTAGCTTTCTTTCGTTTTTGTGTTATTTATTATTTGTGTGTGTGTGTGGTTCGTGTTTTTATTTTCGGTCTCTTTTTGTTTTGTTTTTTTGAGTGTTTTAGTTTCGTATTTCTCGGTTATCAATATTTTCTTTTTTCTGGATTTTGGTCTAGTTTTTTTTTTCTTTGAGAGTTTTGCGTTTGTTGTCCTTTTCGTTTATCAGATTTTTTTGGTCTTTATCTTTTGAACTCTTTCCTTTTCGTTTGTCTTTTTCGTTTAATTTTTTTTAAGTGTTCCTCTTCCAAATATTCTTCAGGTGAGTTGGACTTTCTTTGGTCGTCTTTTTACAATTTGATATTTTATATATTTATTTATTTAGTTTTTATATTTCTCTCTCGAATAGTTTTGCTTTGTTGTTGGACGGGGATCATGTTAGGAATTTTATTTCTTTTTTATTTTATTTATTTATTTATTTATTTATTTATTCACTTTTTAGATATACATTTGTCCGGGGATGATGCTCGATGTGATTTTGTTTTTGTTTCTTTCTTTGTTAATTTTTTTTATTGTTCAGTATCTGTTGGTTTCTTTCTTTGTTCAGCACTTTTTTTGTTCAGTGTCTGTTTGTTTTCTTTCTTTGTTCAGCGTTTTTTGTTCAGTATCTGTTGGTTTCTTTCTTTGTTCAGCGTTTTTTTTTTTTTTGTTCAGTGTCTGTTGGTTTGTGAGGCCGAGCGATGGAAAGTGTGGGTACTCTCAGCCGCGGGCGAGTGAGGCATCGAGGTCTGAGTGTGGGTGCGAGTGCGGGCGCTGGCAGGGAAGGCAGAGCGAAAATTCGGGAGGAAGAGCGCTTGATTCTTAGGAATGCTGATCATTGTTTTTTTTTTTTTTTTGCTCTATTTTCGTGCGTTCAAGGAGACAGGTGCAGGCAGGTAGATAGATAGATAGAAAGGGAGGCTGGTAGATTGACAGGCAGGTAAGCAGGGAGGGAGGCAGGCAGGTAGGCAGGTAGGCAGGCTGGCTGGCTTTGCAGGCAGGCAGAGATAGGTAGGCAAGGCAGGCAGGCAGGTTGCAGGCAGGCAGGGGGCAGGCAGGCAGGCAGAACAGGCAGGCAGGTTGACAGGCAGGGAAGCAGGCAGGGAGGCAGACAGGCAGCAGGCAGGGAGGCAGAGGCAGGCAGCAGGCAAGGCAGCAGGCAGGCGAGGCAGGGAGGCAGGCTTGCAGGCCGACAGAGACAAGTAGACGAACAGGTAGGCAGACAGGCAAGCAGGCAGGGAGGCAGGGAGGCAGGTAGGGAAGCAGACAGACAGACAGACAGACAGACAGACAGACAGACAGACAGACAGACAGACAGACAGACAGACAGACAGACAGACAGACAGCGTTTCCTCCGCCGCATTCTCACCTGCCGCCATTGTGTCTGAGGGGGGAAGGGGAAATACCGCGAAAGTCTCCGGGTATTGATCGTCACACCGCCTTCGATCGCAAACTTTATGAGGGAAAGAAGAGAAAAAAAAACGGAAGAAAGGGAAGGATAAAAAGGGATGTCGGAAGGTCCTGCGGCGCGCGCGCGGGTCGGCGATGGGGGAGGTGGGTAGGGGTTGGGGTTGGGGTAGGAGGGGTAGGGTAGGGGTAGTGGTAAGGGTAGGGAGTAGGGGGGGGGGGGAACCTGTTGGTATGGCACTTGATACTTCAAAAATAGGGGTGTGTATAGGTATTTGTTTATTCATATGAGCATACCTATACACACACACACGCGTACATAAACACGTGTATGTGCGTATCTGTGTGCGTGTGCATGTATGTATGCCTGTGTGTGTGGGTGTATGCGTGCATGTACATGTGCGCACATAAATGAGTAGATAATGGAATAAATAAATGAATATATGTGTCTCTTCTCTCTCTCTCCTCTCTCTCTCTCTCTCTCTCTCACACACACACAACACACACACACACACACACACACACACACACACACACACACACACACAACACACACACACACACACACACACACACACACATACATACGTTTGCATGTACGCATACACATGCATGTCTGCATGCATCCTGAGAGATGTCAGGATCGTCGTCGTCTTCTTCTTCTTCTTCTTCTTCTTCTTCTTCTTCTTCTTCTTCTTCTTCTTCTTCTTCTTCTTCTTCTTCTTCTTCTTCTCCTCCTCCTCCTCCTCCTCCTCCTCCTCCTCCTCCTCCTCCTCCTCTCCTCCTGCTTCTCGCCTGTGAAAGCTGATACATCCAGTTCGACATGACTCACATGTGCGTGTCGTGAGTAACGCCACAATTCGACATGATTCACGTTTGCGTGTCGTGAGTAACGCCCCCGTGTGTGATATGACTCATTTCCCGGCTCATTAACCTGCCCCCCCCCCGTCCCCCCCCCCCATCCCCCGTCCGGCCGCCCTTCATGCCCCTTCGCAGCTCTGGCGGCGGCGGAGGCGGCGGAGGCAGGCGCTTGCACGGGAGTGACCTTGGCCGCTGCTTGCTCGTGGTCTTACGGGTGCATGACTTGGCCGTCGTGCGATTAGAGGCGCGGAGAGTCATGGCACCGAGAGAGTCTCTCCCTGGGATGACGGGCGGCGCGACTCCGCCTCCCTCCTGCCCCGGGTGCCAAGGCGTGGGTCGCAGGCACACGCCCACCTGTGGTGAGGAATGATCAATAAGAATTTCGCGCTCCGTCAGGAGATTCTCGCGACGAAGTCCCTGCCGCGCTGTCCCGTCGAAGGGGATTCCGTGTTCTTGTTCTGCTCGCATTGTGCGTCCGTCCGGTCCGGCCCGTGGCTCTCGGGGGCCGGGATCTCTCGCCTCGTTCTCCTCCCGTCCTCTGGCCTCCCCTCCGTCCTTCCCTTCTTGTTTTTGTTGTTGTCTTTTCTTCTTCTCTCTTCTCCTTCTCCTTCTCCTTCTTCTCCTTCTCCTTCTCCTTCTCCTTCTTCTTCTCCTCTCCTTTCTTCTCTTCTTCTTCTTCTTCTTCTTCTCCTTCTCCTTCTTCTTCTCTTCTTCTTCTCCTTCTCTCCTTCTCCTTCTTCTTCTCCTTCCTTCCTCTCCTTCTTCTTCTTTTTCTTCTGCTTCTCCTTTCCTTCTTTTTATTCTTCTCCTCCTCCTTCTTCTTCTTCTCCTTTTTTCCCTTCCTCCTCCTCCTCCTCCTCCTCCCTCTCCTCTTCGCTCTCTCTCCCTCCTCCTCCTCCTAACTCCCCCCCCCTCCCCCTTTCCCTCCCATCCCCTCTTCCTTTCCGATTCCCTTTCCACCTGCGACGTTTCCTTCCCCCCTCCTCTTCCCTCCCCCTCCTCTCCCTCTCCCCTCCCCCTCTCCCTCTCCCTCTCCCTCTCCCCCTCCCTCCCCTCCCCTCACCCTCCCTCCTCCTCCCCCTCCCCCTCCCCCCGCGCGTGACCCTGGGGGAGGCCGCCCGTCGACCCGGCAGGCGGACGGGTAGAGTGCGATGGCGCCATGCACGCTGCATTCCGATCGGGCGGACGAAGAGGGGAGAGGGGGGGGGGGGTACGGGTCGCGGTTGGGGGTGGGGGGGGAAGGGAGGCGGAGGGAATGGGGTAGGAGGTAGGAGGATTGGGAGAGAGGGGGTAGGGAGGGAGGGGGATAGGAGGATTGGGAGATAGGGAGGGAGGGATAGGAAGAGAGGGGGGGGCAAAGAGAGGGTAGGCAGCAGGAGGGACATATGGAGAGAGAGAGAGGGGCAGAACTATATAAGAGAAGGAATAGGAGAACAAGATAAAGAAAAAAAAGAGAGAGGGAACGAGGGAGGAGGAGGGAAACCCGGGTCCATTATGGATGTTAAGAAAACGTGGGAAGGAAGCGTGGTGAAGTGAGCGGAAGGAAACGGGCGGGTTTTCAAGAGATGAGTTGTGAGGGAGGCTGTGAGACTGAAGTGAGGACGAGGAGGGCCGTGACTGAAGTGAGAGTGAGGGAGGCCGGACTGAAGTGAGGATGAGGACTGAAGTGAGAGTGAGGGGGACGGGACTGAGTGAGGTGAGGGGGCCAGGACGGAAGTGAAATATGACGAAAAGTGCGACAAGGACTGCTCTTCAGACCAACTGCGAGGCGAAGTGGGACTGAAGGAATGAGTAAGTGAGGTTGTGAGTGAAAGTGCGGCTTGGAGGGTAGGCCGCTAGGGTGGGTTTCGGCGTCACTGCTCGGCGGGGAAGGGGGTTCCGGGTTGGGGGGGGTGGGAGGTTGGTTGGGGCTCGTTTCGGAAAAGCGAGTGCGAGCGGCGGCATCTGGCAGGGAGGGAGAGCGCGGAAAGCGAGTGCGAGTTGACAGGTGGTGGGAGGTCAGCTGCCGTTTTATTAGGTCGCCGACCTTCCTTCCGTCCGCGACCCGGCTTACGTGGCCGACCTGTTTCAACGCCGAGCTAGCTTTGACCTCGACCCGGCTACGATGCTGTGACCCAATTTCGACACGATTCGGCTTCGATGCTGCTGGTCTTGTTTCGATTCGACTCGGCCTCGACCCCGACCCGGCTTCAACCCTGACCTAGCTTAGACTCCGACCCGACTTTGACCTCGACCTCGCTTGAACCCCTATCTGGCTTCCACCCCAACCCAGCTTCGATACTAACCCAAATTTCGACTCGACCCAGCTTCGACCCCGCTTCGACCCCGGCGGCCAGGCTTCAGACGCGATGTAGCTCGTACTTCGACCTAGTTTCGACAACGACCCAGCTTCGAGGTCGACCAAGATCTCTTTGAAATACACCAAGTGACTCTCCACTTTTGAACGAGGGTTTAACTGTTTAACGTTTGGCAGGTAGTGTGAGCGTCGAGAAGAGGTATTTTACTGTTTAGGTCACGTGATCCAAGACGGGTTTGTATAGATTGGAATGATTAACGTAATGATACAAAAAAAAAAAAAATTAAGTGGAATGAAAACAAACAGGAGAGCATAGGGAAGACGGCATTCATAGCAAGATTCACGATCAAAGTTTGGAGGAAGATAG